CAAGTATCATAAATTAATTTCAGCAAAGATGCTTCATCTCCCACAATTATTACGCAAAACTTCCTATAATCAATAAAGATTTTCCATCTGGCTTTATAACCTTGACTGGGAAAACTCAGCTCTGCTTTGCCTAAGGATCTGTTCTTCCTTTCGTTGGGAAAACAAGGTGTAACAGAGGGAGTGAACTCTGTGCCAGGGTTGGCAGGCTGGGATGTGTCCATAGGTCCTGTGACAATTTAATGCCAGGCTGGGTAAGCAGGTGTTCAGGTTAACTCACAGTGCTGATCTTGTTCCCTGCTTATCACCTGTTAATCTGAAGCCTATTTCCAGAAGCTCTTCAGTTAAGCAATTACAGGGTGGTGTGCCATACTTGGGAAGGGCAGGAGGCGTATGTGGGTACATCTCTGGTACACAAATCCCTTTCCCCAGTGTGGTAACACAGTCCAGCCAGGCGAGGGCCTCACGGCTCCCCTGGGAGCGATCCAAGCCCCAAGTAACTGCAAGTTGGTCTCTGTAAAGATTGGGAAGTTTTTTCCCCAAGCACGTGTCAAAGACTCTGACATCCGAAAATCGGTTTTGCACCACATGAAGTCTGCTGGGATGCAGACTTTGAGTCTCCAGTTGTCCAAAGATGAAGTGCAGTCCTGCTTCAAGTGACACCAGCACAGAAGCTGACTTGGGGATAGTGTGATTTACAGTCAGGGTTGAGGCTGGGAGTGACAAAAGGTTTCAGCTGAGGGTGGGCTGTGAAGGGGCTGCCAGGTGGGGTTAGGACCATCTTTGGAGTTTGGTGAGGCACAAAGAAAATATGGTGAGTGCCCAGCTCAGTACAAGTTGTCCAATGTAGTTGTTACCAAGTGCCACCCGGAGCCTTGAGGCACAGCACAGGCACTCCTCGATTTTGGAAGGCCAGTCCATACGCAGTCAGTGTTTGTCATTCTTGTCACTGGAGATCTGCCTAGTTTGGCTCAGGACTCGTGCATGGACCCAGTCAGAAAGGAGAGTACATCATTTGTTGCACCAGCAGTCCCTGAGGTGCTTTTGATACACTCTAGTTACAAACTCAATGCCTGAAACAACTCCAACACAGAGACTCTGACCCAATACATTATTATGTATTTCTTACTCTAACTAGATCTAATTCACAATGGGTTAAATCAAGTTGGGTTTCTCATTTCTAGATCTAAATGAATTAAAATATATTAGCTGACTGTAGCAACAGGAAGCAGGGGCACCTAGTTCAAACACTTGATTAAATGTCCTAACCAGCTGTTCTAGAGCTGGTTTTTCATACCCTGGTAGAAAATGGGGGATCTGAAGCAGAGTTCAGACCAAAGCAAATTCAGATTTTGCATTACTGTAAAAGTCAACATTTGTTTTTATAAACCTGTTTGTTTAACTGAGCACCATATTGTACATAAGAACCTGTCCAGATGCAGAGGTATCACAAAGCAAAATAGTGTGTGAAATAAAAGTAGAGGAGGGGATCTGTTCCAAAAGTAATGGCACACATGGCCAGATTTACCTTCCTGTGTTTCATGGCTTAGTCCAGACCAATAACCAGAAACCTTCACAAGACCCTTGTCTGATTTACTGTGTCAGAACAGCTCCGGGTGTAAAAATGCTGCTTTGTTCCCCATTACCTGTACAAAAACCCCACACAATTTGTAAACACTGAAGAGAAGTGGTAATGCTGAATCAGACCTTGTTGGTGTTAATTGTACCTGGGGAGCAGCGTGATGTCCTCCCTGCCTGCCTCCTGAGGGGAAATATTTCTGGTCAGTTCTTACAGCTCTCCTTGGGCTGTGCTCTGTGTTTGTGCTATTTCACCTGCCAACTGGCATACAGATGGCTAATTCTGACTCCCTAGACTATTGCAATGAATATTGATAACTGCACACTAACAATGTGTATGACAAAGTGATCAGCTTGGGAGCAGCACTGACTGGTCAGCCTGAATCAAACTGGACTCAGCTTTTGCTGGTGTTCTGAAGAGCCCCACAGGTCCATGGGCCACTGCTACCTCCAGGCATTTGAAAGTATAAAAGGATGGACTTGTTTAAAAGGCTGCAGGGCTGGGCTCCAAGGGATGGAGGAGGAAGCGTAGCTCTCTCCACTGAAGAGTTCTTATGAACCTAGCTGGCCACAGTGTGCTGGTATTTTGGGTGGATTTCAAGGCACAGGTGGCCAATCTCCTTGTCAGCCAGAAAATTGCTGCCCATCCCTGCAGCTAGGGCCGTAACTCCTGTCATCCCAGCAGGATCAGATAATCACCAACAAACCACTGGTGGGATGACACCTCCCACAACCTCTCTGATGCTGCCGGTCTTGGTGTGGGTCTTGGCAGCTCCTGAGTGTTCATTGCTCCCCAAACTGCTACCTCTCCAGCAGCTCCCTGTGACTCCCAGAGACACAGCTTGAAGTGACCCAAGGACTGCTGAAGGGGACGGTGGAGTGGATGAGCTGGCACTCCGCTGGTCTTTTACAAGGTGAGTCCTTGGGGTGGGACGCTCTCCACTGCACGACTCAGCACACACGAGACAGCCCAGCCAGCCCAGCCAGGGCAGACTGGTACACACTGAGCCATCCCAACTATCTAGTACCACTCGCCACCTGCCCCAGCCACTGACAAGTGTTTCATATGATCCCACGCACAGCCATGTTGTGTCAACACCTCGTAAGCCTGGGATTTACAGCTGCTGGGTGAGGGGGCGAGACAAAAGTGGTGTTAGAAGGCGTTTGTCCACCTGTCCCTGCCAGTAAAGGAGCTGATACACCAGGACATGGCTCCCGTGGAGGAAATCATGACATACGAGATGTTCGGCCCTCCCACAGGAGAATTACAGTTAAAAGGAAAATCCACCCTGTCCATGCTGTCCTCGGGGCAGCCCAGCCTGGTGGCCAAAATGCTGTGTTGGAGGGACTGCACTCAGTTTGTTGCCTTGCCACTGGATGGCTCCAATCCCTTTTCTTTGCCTCAGTTTCCCTGCAAGAAGAAAGCCCTTAATCCCTGTGTAGTGCGCTCCTGTGGCAGGCACCAGTAGCGGCTGAACCCCCCGATGTGCATCCCCAGATAAAGCTGCTCCCAGGGAACTGCCAGGAGGGGGAAGTTAAAGCCCCAGGGGCCCAGTGCCATAAGGGCTGCCAGCCTGTGCTCCCTGGCATTGGATTGTAGGTAAAACCCATTGTGGGCTCTGTCCTGCATCTCCCATGTGCCAGAGCTAAAAAAAAAAGCTGTGCAACACAAATTTGTTTCCCAAGTCCCCAGGGCATTAACTATTGTGGGTAGCTACAACCCATTTCACTCAGTGCCAGTCCTCAGTGCCAGCCATGGTGCACCCCAAGCCCAGTGCACAATGCTGTAGGTCTAAGGACTTAGGGGTCCCCCGGCTCAGCTCCTTTGCAGCCTGGCACAACAGCCCAGCTCAGCACCTTGGTCACCCATCACCATGTGCAGGAAGAAATTATGCACTTACCTCCTCGTGCTAATGGCCCAGCCACACATCCCCTGCGGAGGAAAGGACAGGAAGGGATGCCCCATGCTCAGCAACCAGCAGCATAAGAACAGCCCTTGAAATCCAGGAGAGCTTAGCAGCAGGAGGCAATAACAGCCAAGAGCCCTCAATTAATTAGCTGCACTTCTGCAGCAGGAGAAGGCTCCCTGGTAAAGCTGCCCCATGGCAGAGCCCCCTGCCAGGCTGCTGCCTGCACCCTCAGCACTGCCCAGCTCATGGCATTGCTCCACAACTCACAGGGCAACTTTCAGCTGGTTTTGTTTCCCCAGAAGACAGTGGGGGGATCTCACACTGCAGCAGCCCAGGGCCAGCTGAAAAACATCAGCAAGGGCTGTTGGCTCAACACCATCTCCCATCAGGAATGCACATGCCCATTTATAGGGACCCTGGCAAGCCAACACCTGCAGCAGGATGGTGCTCCGCTCTCACGCCTGGTTGCCCTTAGATTTCAGCAAGAAAAACAACTCTCACCCTATGCAATACAAGGTCTTGCTTAGCTGCCTTGGGCAGTAGTTAAGATTAGTTTCAGTGATTGAGACCAACTGCTTTGAGCAGGCCTGGGCAGCCAGAAAGGAGCCAAGGCGTGGGGGAAGCGAGGAACCTCGCTGATCTGAAGGGCAGAAGACCAGGAGAGCATCCCCTCACCACTCCACATCCCCTAGCAGAAACCAGGCAGTTTCATTGGGGTGGCTCACAGATCCACAGAGGTATCTGTGTAAAGGCCAAGCCACCCACATTACTCAGTCTTGCAGTGTTTTCTGCAAACTGCCCTGGCAGCATGAAGGAATTTTCCCCTTCCTCTGGAATTTGGAAGCTTAACTTCCAGGGGTAAGGGATGAGCCTGGAGATGCAGCTCCCTGCCTGGTAAGCAGAGCTGGCCCAGAAGCTGTCTCAGTTCAGCTGTTCCATCCCCATAGCACACCACTCACCTCCTGTGAGGGCAAGGCTAGCCAGGGGCTCTACAGAACAGCAGCAATTACCTGCACTTGTGTTCTCTGGCTGGGTTTTAACATATCCAAGTAGGCAGCTCAGTTTCTAAGCCAGAGAACATGAGGCCAGCTCTGCTCCTCCAGACAGCATTTCTCCAGCCTCTCATGCATTCAGTGCCATAGGGAGTGTTGTGCTTTGCAGATGGTTTAGGCATTTGGCACTTTCAAAACCAGGTTTCAGCAACTTCGGGGGTAGACAGGCCAGAGGCAGGATTGTGGCACACAGTTAGTGCATCATCTCTGGTTACCGGTGTCTCAGGGAGATCAGCTGGGTGAGTCCTTCAGAGCTGCCAGTCCCCATTTCAGCCACACCACTGGCCTCCCTCTGGGGAGCAAACGACTTCCTCTGCAGCCTGCGCTGTGTTTACCTGCTGTACTTCGCAGGTAGCAAGGCTTGCAGGATGCAGATGGTTCATCCTCCTTCTTTTCTACAGCCACCGAGACCCCCACCCCCCTCGTGCTGCAGCTGCTGCAAGAACAAACATGAGATGAGGAATATTGGTTTCGGATTTTTATTTCTTTGTACTCTTTAAGCAGGAGTGACTGAAATAGAAACCATCATGAGTCCCTTCAAGGGGAATAAAGACAGAGCAGGCTGTTGCCCCTGCCCCATGCCAACCTGTATAAACATCAGCCGTCACTGTTTAGTAACTAGATGGTTTTCAAACAAGTCCATGAACTGTCATAGACTACACAGAACAACATGCCAGTTCACAACAGGAAACAACTTATGTGTACTTCTTGATTTCATCATACAAGACTAAGACAAAAGCACCACCCATTCCTCGGAGTACATTCGACCATGCACCTTTGAAAAACGCCTTGGAGCCCTCATCCCGGGCAATCTTCCTCCAGCAGTCAAGAGTGCCAGTGTACATTATGTCAGCTGCAGAAGACAGACAGCTTTAGCAACTGGATGCCCAAGACCCCCAATATCCAGGTCAGAAATGGCCTGATGTATCTGCCAACTTCATAACCTCAAGTGCATCCCACCATTTCTTGACTGACTTTCTCCAGTATTAGTGCACTGGAGGATAAGACTGCCCAGCAGATATGCTGCTGCTGCCTTACCCCTGGGAGACACTGGAAGGACTGGTTTGAGCAGAAGGCAGCAACTGTTTGCTTTGACACCAACACTTCCAGACCCAAAAGCTATTGCACAGGTAGCCAGGCTGTGCCTGCTATGAGGGTTGTCTGTTCTTGCCCCAGAGACACCAGTTTGCAACATCCTTGGGGAAGTTCTGCTGTTCCTCCCTACTGGCAGATAAAGGGGTTTGTGCAAGCCCCTTTATAGGTGTGCTGTGCAGGCCAAGCCACCCGTGCCCCTGCCTGTCACCTGCTTCTGCAGTCCCTCCCACACCCTTCTTACAGGACATGAGGATATCTACTCGGGTTGGTGAAAGCTAAGCCACCCTCACCTCAGCTCCAACACCAACTGTTGATTCAGGGATGCCCTATATCTCTTATACAATGAAGGGGAAACTTACCTCCTTTACGGCCAGACTGCATCATCATGCGACGACGAACCGTGTCAAAGGGGTAGGAGACCAAACCGGCGACAGCAGTGACGGTCTGAGCAATCATCCAGCTGACAACGATGTGGGTGTTCTTTGGGTCTGGGAGCATGCCTGCAGGAGAGAGGCTTTGATGAGCACGGCAGGTGAGCCACCAGCGCTGCTGAAACGCACTGCAGGCCTGCTGCAGAACAGCGTCTCCCTTTCAGTGCCATTTTGGTCAACCTACCCTTGGCGGTGTCGTAGATGCCAAAGTAGGCAGCTCTGTAGATGATAATGCCCTGGACAGAGACACTGAAGCCCTGGTACAGGCCCCTGAGACCATCCGAGCGGAAGATTTTGACCAGGCAGTCACCGAGCCCGCTGAACTCCCGGTCGGCCCCGGCTTTACCCACATCCGCTGCCAGGCGGGTTCGGGCAAAGTCAAGGGGGTACACGAAGCAGAGGGAGGTCGCGCCGGCGGCACCTCCGGACGCCAGGTTACCGGCGAAGTACCGCCAGAACTGGGTCCGCTTGTCCACGCCGCCCAGGAAGATCTGCTTGTACTTATCCTTGAAGGCGAAGTTGAGGGCCTGGGTGGGGAAGTACCGGATCACATTGGCCAGGTTGCCGCGCCAGAAGGAGAGGACGCCCTGCTCCCGCGGGATGCGCACCACGCAGTCGATGATGCCCTTGTAGTGCTTGTCGGCCGAGATCTGCTTGCTGGCGTGTTGCACCTGCGGGGAGCCCACACGCCGCCGTCAGAGCCGCCACCCCGCGACCCCCCGGCCCGCCGCCGCCCCCCCTCTCCTTGCGGCGACCTTGCGGCGGCCCCCAACGCTCACCTGCAGCAGCAGCTTGACCCTCTCGATGGGCGCGACGGCGGTCTTGGAGATGGCGGCCGCCACCCCGCCGGCGAGGAAATCCTTGGCGAAGGACACGGCCGCATCGGTCATGGCGGGAGCGGCGGGAGCGGGAGGCGATGCCGGGCGAGGGAGGCGGGAGGCGGCGCTGAGGGGGGGGGCGCCGCAATGGCCGCTTATATAGGGGCGGTGGCGCGCGCGTGGGCGGGGCGCGCGCCCCGCTCGCCCGTTGGCTGCGGGAGGGGGCGGGGCCGCCGCGGCAACGGGCGGGGGGAGCGGGATGGGGGGACCGGGATCGGGATCGGGATCGGGGGGACCGGGACGGGGCACCCCGGGATGGGGGAGCCCCACATGGGGGAGCCCCACATGGGGCACCCCACCGGCACCGCGGGCGGACAGGGTTATATCTATATATGGCCCCGGCCCGGCCACACGGCTCATCCCCATCCTAGCCATGAACAGGCCCACATCCGACTGCCCCGACTCCCTGAACCTCAGCCGAGACACTCGTTCAGAGACCTCTCAGGATAATGTCCCCCCTGCACACATGATGCTCCAGGAGTCACCGAGCTCCAAGTAGTGTATGGATTCCCTCCGAATATTGCATGGATTCCCTCCGTCAATCACTGCTGAGCTCAGTTGGGGCGCTCAGACACACCCCCCACCAGGTACCACCCACCACCTCCATCGCACCGCTGCATCCAAATGTCACTCGAGTGACGCTTCACCTATCCAAGAGTTCAGCCTTGCTATTCACTGGTTGTTCATGATCACACACCATTTCACATGTTAGCGATCCACTGCTGAAGCGCTTTCTTTTGGAGCTGTCTCAAATATTAGTGCTGCCTTTTGGGGTGTTTATCATGCACAGATGTGATTACAAAGGAGAAGCTTGGTTGATAAAAGGTTAGTAAGTGATTTATAGGTTGTAGGAGTGCATTACAATAGAAAGGTGGTATTAGCACATCAGAAACAAGTTAGAGGTAACTTTTTGACTCACTTGACTCTTATGAGGTTTGAAGAGCTGATCAGACATTCATACGCACCCATCGTTCAATCTTTAAATCTATTTAGAAATACAGTATTAGTAAAAAACATACAGGTATGCTTGGAAAAGGTAAGAAATCCATTCCTTCCCAAAACGCTTACAAGTCATATCTTATTCATACATCTCCAATAAGTCCCAACATTATTACCTGCACTGCGTTGATGGAGAAACTGAGGCACAGAGAAACATGTTCACTAGACAGCTTGATTAGAGCCAAAGCACTTACAGCCTCAGTGTGATTCATGAGCCACCAGATCTGCTCTCTACCATCCTCAGCTGTAGGATACATCAACCATGAGTTTTAGGTGCAGGGCAGGCCTTACAGTTATCCCAAATCTTTCTGCAAGTTTCTCTCCATGGTCACAGACTGTTCCTGTACGGATCTACCAATGCCTCATCCCGCTGTGACTTGTCCTAACCAAGCAGATTCTGAGATTTACTTATTTCCACCCATCAGGGGTTATAAACAGTGCAAAAACACCCACAAGGAGCTGTGTAGAGCAGCAGCAAACCCTGTGCTGAGCCCAGGCTGCTGCAGCTCAGGCTGGAGCAGAACTGATGTGCACACACTTTCTCAAGGTGCCGTGATTCCCACCCTGCCACAGCCCGAGCCTGCGGGACACGCCACAAGGGGCACAGCCACCCACGGGACACGGGGTTTGGGTTTTCTATCAGAAGGCACTGGGATGGGGCTGTTCCATAACTGAACTTCTACAAAGGAACTGGAGCAATATCACAGGTCCTCAGATGATCTTTTATTGTCCAAAACCTCCCAAGGTTGGTCAGATTCCCATCAATTGCATTGGCACTGGCAGTAACCTCGTGGTCTTGCAGAGAGGCTCCTACACACAGGATCTGTCTGCAGCTCCTGGATCACAGCAGTTAAAGTGGAGCAATCACAGGTGGTGTGCACGGTGCTATTCTGCTGGCACATTCCGGGCAGCACAGCAGGCCTAGGTCTGTGCAGTGGAACTAAAAAGTGGTCTAATATAAAAATAGAGCTTTAAGAATACCAAACCAACATGACAAGGCTCGTGGCTCTGAAATACCTAACACACCTAAGAACTGCATTTTCCAGGAAATATTTCAGTTAGAGAACTTCAGGAAAACTATTTTTCAAACTGAAATAATTCACACAGGTGCAGCAGCAAGCAACACACAAGAAAGGGAGGAAGATTTCCTAGTACGCACTTAAATTTGCAAGATTGTCATTCCAGTGTATTGCAGTCCATTTTCCACATTACAGTTCTCTCTTAGCAAAAGCATAGTTGCAGCAGCATGTTTTCATCTTTGTGCTGGAGTTTCACACACAATTATTATTCTCAAGTAAGTCTCAAAAACTGAGGTGTGGATTTGGGAGCATAACTGAACTGAGACTAATTCTGGCTTGGCAGAATGCCATGTCCACACAGTATCACTAAAAAACCTGGAGACTTCAGTAGAAATTCTTGCATGTTGCATGGATTCTAGTTTGTTTTATCATGTTTGGCTGACTTGGTCTCTCAGATTGCTTAAAAAAAACCATTTGAATTTTCTTAATGGCTTTGAAGATACAATTTATAATCTCATCTCTGTTCTCTCGCGTTTCTGCAATTGTTTTAATCTCAAGTGGCTACTCAGTATTAAAAAACACCTAAAATAATGCCATTTCAAGTTCCAACAGTAGAGAGTTTTCAAATTGGTTGCAAGTCTCCTCTTCAGTATGTGGTTGCTATTTATATTGTTTATATCCATTCAGCAAATGAAATACAAGGTTTATTCTTTTCTGTCACAGGTGTCTCAGTATTAAAACCATGCAATCTGCTGAAATGCCAGTACCTGTAGCTCAGTATGTCTTTCTTGCAAAGTTCCTTAAGAAAAGTAGTTGGTATATCTGCAGTGGACACTCTGAAGTCAGTTTTCAAGAGCCGATTTCCTTGGCTCAAAATTTTCCCTTCGGAAGCGCTTTAATTCTCTCAGTTCTTGTGGCTGTAAGCTCTGGTCCACACCAGGAGTCAGCTTGTAATTTAAAGGAGATTCAATATAACCATTTCTGTACAGACAGACCCGCTTGCAGAATTCAAAGGTGCTAAACATAACACCAAAGTACGGGACAATCTGATAAAATAATAATAAAAAAGCAATATTAGACTCACTAGTAGCATTCATAGCTTAGATGTTTTAAAAAAGGAAACTTGTAGAACTTCAAATCTGATCTGCTAATAGACCTGTCCTCATTTATATAAAATCAGTCTCACTTCAAACTAGGCTGGCACCTGCAGCATGCTAGAAGTAGGAGTTTATTATTGGTATATAACTAATTATAACAATATTGTGAGGAACAAGGTCTGTGCTAGACTATAGATTATTACAACTTGTCAAATACCTAAGCCCCTGAGCATATCTTGGTAGGAAATGTGGAATTCATTCTACACACAGCAGAGTGACTGAACAATTTCCTTCTTTTTCCCATGCAGAACCAGCAGCTCTGGTGCTGTGTGGCTTTGTACCAGTCAAGGTAGGGCAGGCACAGGCAGCCCATCACAATCAATCACATTGTCACTCAATTAGCACTCATTAGCTGACCTGTATTACTCCATGTAGGTAATCCTCATCACAGCACTATAAAACGTATTTATGTACACTAAATTACCTTCTGTTTAAGTTACTGTGCTTTATTTCATGCTTTCAACTCAGCAAGGGCTGTAGTAACCAATACACATGTATTAAATAACTGGCTGAAAGTGCTGCTTTGGACTTCTGGGGAAGTGGCTTACACAAACACAATTTTCTTTACAGCTCAGTACAACATATCAAATTACTGGAGCTCAGCTGAGGAGGAGAACTCGTTTAGCTGTTCTAAGTGGATCACTTGCAATCCCCCATCCATTTCCTACCTTGTGTGTTAGCAGCACTCCCTTGCCTAAGAACATTCAAATGAGCTTGAAAGTAATGACATCTAGAAGCCAACCTTACATTTGGAGAAATACAATACAAACAAGTTCCAAGGCTGGTTTCTAACCTGTTCTGTCACAGATCAGCCGTCTATAAGCTGCTACTAAGTACACAGGAATGCCACAAACTTTATAACCCCAACTGTCCAAAACTGTCTTGATTACTTTAGGATAGTATTGGATTGGGATGAAAGTAAACCCTTACCTTGAGCAGACTGGGTGTGAGTCCATTCCAGAGTCCAAGCACACCTTTGTTCTTCACAGTTTGCCGGAAACAGTCAGCCATGCCAGTAAAATGGACATCAACTCCTCCATAGTGGGGAAGCCAAGGACTCTGGGCCTGCCAAGAGACACCCAGGGGGATTTAGAACAAGCAGAGGAAAACCAAAGTAATTAATTCTTTTCTCTATTCTGGTACATAAGGAACACTCAATGCAAGGTTTCAACAGACTGATCTGGATTCTTCCCAAAAGAATCAGCTATTTTCCATTAAAATATAAAATAAAAAGGGAGGCAATTCACTCTCTGATAGGTATGAAACAGAACAGTAATTTCACACAGCACTTCCTTTTGTGTCATGAGATAAATCCCACCCCTGTGAAGACAAACCATCCTAACCAGAGCCACATATCCCATCAGACCCATGTCTGCCAGCTGCTCAGGTCTGGGGAGAGGTATTTCACATCCCTGGCAGTGGAGCACCTATGAGAGGGAAGCCTGGGGCTGGTCCCTGAGGCCACTCTGCCTTCCTGTAACTGATGGAACCAGCTGACTCACCTCTGGCTGCCTAGGCTGTGTCTGCACTGAATGAGAAGGGTGAACTGTACTATGGGCTCAGCAGCAGCAACAGAAGGACAGAGATTTCAGCCCAGGCTGTACAAGCCCACCAAGGGCTGCAGAGCAGCAGCTGGTGCCCATGTTCCATATCAACATGTTCAGTTCATACAGACTGGTAAGTCAGCTTGGGAGCATCCTGCTGGGCTGCAGCTACATTTCCAGCTGCAGTACAGACCGTGTCTGTTCACATGGAAGAAGTGTAGTTGGTCATTTTTAACAGCTAAATCCTTTCTTCATTAATCTCCTACTGCGTTAGCACAGACAGGATAACCTGACCTTCAAAAATCCCCTCCTCATCCATCTGTGCACATGCAGCCATGGGTTTATTTTGCATTGGCAAATCAGGGTTTCACTCAAACACACGACAAATGTCACTTCTCAGTCAGGAGTGTGCGGGGACCCCAGGACACAGGTTGATGACTCACAGGTACAAACTGATCATCATAAGGCAGAAGTTTGATAGAAATGGGACTTGTACAGTGAACTCATTGATGGGTGTAATTATCCCCACATTGATCTGAAACACCATATAGTATAGCAAATTTTCCCTCCTTGGCCAGACTAATCTACAGCTTCTCAGAGCTGCTAAGCCTATGGCAAGCCTTTCATAAATGTACAAGTGGTGATGACATTTTCTAGATGCCTCAGCTATAGCATTTCAAGTACTTGGCAACTGAGATGATGGAAATGCAAACAGATCAAAACTCATGCTCTAGGTGTGTAAGAGAAATTGCTAATCAAATAGTTTAAATGCTGTTGCATTCCCTTGCATTACTGGGAAGTTTACTGCTAAGATTTATAAGTTGACAAAAAAATCCCTGATCACCCCACTCACTAACAGCAGTCTTCTTTGTCTACAAAAAAAATAAATCCACACATCATCATTTTTTTCTCTCTTTTTTTTGTGCATGATTGAATTGCATGTGAAATACTTCTTATGGCAAAAGAAACACCTCCTGCACAAAGACTTTCATGTCTGTACTGCAGAAGATGATGAATGCTGGATCTGAGACTTTAGCAACCAATTCCACTAAGAATGGTGATATTAGCAGCAGCAATGCTTAAAAGAACACTCAAATTATGTAAGTATTCCTAAAAATGCAACAGCAGTCATAGGAGAGCTGGATTCAAAAGCCTGTTCTGCTTTCTGGAATGTCAGTCAGGTTCCACGAGTTTTTTTGGTAAAGAAAGTTAAAGAAGTGATCAGGGACAAGTTTCTGAAATGCTTCAGGAAGGCAGGAATGCTGTTAACACACAATTCCCTTCCTTTTTCAGTCCCTTCGTGGTAGGCAGGGCATGGCCTGCCAGAATTAACTGCATGAGCTTGACTTAATCTCCTTCATTACTGTATACACTGCAAAGCCACATATCAAAGGTTTTGATTACAGTACTCCACCAAAACTAGCAACAAGCACAGCGCAGGTTTCAGTAAGATCCTGCACAGAGTAAACACTGCAAGAAGACAATTAAAAAGGAACAGGTAAGTCAAACACCCAGATTTCCAATGTGCCCACAGACACTGACCTCTTAAGAGATTTACTGAAAAATTATTTATAGCAACATTCACCACAGATAGAGTAGTTTTCAAGATTTCAGTCTGTGAAGTATGTGTTGCCAGTCTTTCTGCCCTACAGGAGCTGTATGTTTCTAGGACTCTACACACAGTATTTAAATAACTATTGTCCACAGAATCTCAGAATCACCTACTGCAAAAGGAAACCTAAAAACTCTATCAGTGTGTAGTTAAAACTTCAGTATTTTGGAACACAGCTGAACAAA